GACGAGAACAGGAACGTCCTGCCAAACTCTGGTAAAAGTTGCCGTACTTTAGGAAAATTGTTCCAGCAGTTGAAATGATCAGCGCAAAATTAAGAAAAATTTGTAAGTTATAAATTATATCACCATAAAATTAAGGTTGACAATAAGATATTAGACATTGCCTTGTAGTAATCAGCATTTTACAGCTGGTATGATTACTCATACCCCCAAGGCTTTTGAACAAATTTTCTTGGATCCTCAAAATTTGCTCGGTAATATACCACCAACCATCAAACAAAGAACAAAAAAGCCGAGCAATTTAAATTTTAAATATAAGCACAAGTCGAATATATTGTACTGTTTTCATTTTGGTATAAACAAATTTTATTTTCTTTTTGTGTGTGTGTGCATGTGAATCATCTTTCTCTCTTGTAGATTTTATAGGAGACCGAACTCAACTTCAGTGTACACGGGTTTTGGACCTTTTTTGGCATTTTTAATACAATATACTTGTTTACATATATATATATATATATAAAGAAATAACAAATTTAGAATTTCTTTTATTTTCCTAGCCATTGCAAGAGAAAACATCATTGACTTGCCTGTATTGAGCAATTTGAGTTTGCCGAGCTCTATTTCCTTGCAAGTTATGTGACTGAGCATTTTGAATTCGTAAAAGGGTGACAGGTAGGTTCTGAACCTCTTGTTTGCACACGTCACACGTCTTGTTACCTTTGATGCTGAACCATTTTACAGCACATTCTTGGTGAGCCAATGCGAGTTCGCCTTTGCAGCTACATTCCATCTTAAGGGTGTCGCCACCCTCCCCAAGTTCAACCAAGCAGATTCTACAAACAGCTGCTTCTTCGGGAATGTCTTCACCGCCATCATCATTTCCATCTGAACCACAACACCTTTAAGGCATAGGTTGGTTATCGCAAGCTCCAAAATGAGCATTAAGTTAAAGCTGAAACTAAAAACGTAAACTAAGTGCAGAAACCAAGCATTTAGAATTTAAGAAAGCACTGTTTCTGCAATGATTTAAGAGGATTTGCTGGGTAATATAAATGTTAAGAACTCGGTAACAGGAACCGTCTTTAGATATGGAGTCGAGTCCATTTGACACCATGCTACTGACTTGATTGAGTCAATTCTTAAGGTGCTTTGGTGACTTTGGGAGGAAATTTTTTAAATGAATCGACAATACAATGGTTATAAAGTTGTACTTAAAGCCGAAGACAATTAGGAGACAATTACCGACATCATTTGTTGGAGCTGTGGTCGACGTTGTGAGCATTCCTTCTGCCACTCGCGGAGTAGTGGGAACCACGCGAAATACACCGCTTAATGGATCAATCTGCCTTACACTTCCTTCTTTGATTAAAGAAGGAACGGACCGTGAACGATACATAGGAAGCTGAGTCCTATTTTTCTGTATAGTGAGAAATTCTGTAAGTATCAAGTAGAGATTTGGACAAAATGATTGGGGGAAGGTCCAAAAACCAATTACCCTCATACACACAAAAATCAAAAATAAAAAAAAAAAAATTTGAGAAGTAAAATAATCAAGAAAGAACCTGAATCGGAAAAAAAAAAATGCATAAAAAAGCAAGTGGGTATTATAATTTGTAATCATGATATTCATTACACACAAGCACAATTAAGAAACTACAAAGTCAAGACAATTCTCAAAGCTTATATGGGGCAAAACTTACAGCTTCGACTGTGTTCCCTCCATGCATAGACTCCGGATTTGAGTGTACAATTGGGGTAACAGGCAAAGATGAAGTTCTTTTCATCTTGGGTGAGAAAAGTTTTGTAAGGGACGGTGTCCTTCGAATCAAAGGCTTACCCCGTGTCCCTGTTAGTGAATCTCCCAAAGCTAGGATTGCGGCCTTCTCTATCTCTGAAGTAGTATTCCGGAATTTGAAGCTTAGTTTTGGAAGGAGGCTTTTGAAGGATGGTTTACCTCTAGAAGACATCAAGGGACTTGGACAATCATTGAATTTGTAATAACTTGGGCTCGGGATTGGTGAAAAATTCACTCTTTTGGGAGTTCGACTTGGCGTTGGGGGCATATTTATTCTAACAAAATCCTCAGTAGTGACCTCAACTGTTCTTGAGGGTATCTCTAAGGCCAGGTTTTGCCTCCTCTGGTGTTGTTTGGTTGGTGGTTCTTCAATTATTTCGCTCGAATCTCCAACCTACAACAGTACATGCTTTGAATCAGAAAATACACAACATCTGAGTTGAAGAATATAATAAAAATACTATTATGCACTAGAACAAACAAAAAAAACCCACATGAATTATTAAAGTGAAGGTGCATTTTCCAATACAAATGTGATATATCCCAATAATTCCTCACTTATGTTAAAAAAATGCATAGCATTAGAGGATTTTAATGTGATTGCAACACTAAAATGAATTGTACCGATGCAAAATGTCCAATGGAGGAGAATCCAATTTATACAGACATAAGATTATGCACTAGCATCACAGTTTAATTTATGCTTCATTTTTTTCATTTTCCTAAGCAACCACTTACCAAACAAAGGAAGGAAATTAAATTTCTTCACTTCACTTTCTTTTTCTAAAATTTTCCCCTTTCTTTCACTTCAAAAATCAAATATACAAACATGGCATGAATAGTGAAAAACATAAGTAGAATCCACAGAGAGAGACAGAGAGAGAGAACTCCAACACTGAATAAAATTTTAGATGATTGGAATATACCCATCAAAGAATTTAGAACAAAAATCAGAATTCATTCACTTATATGGTGATAAAATCCACAAAATCCAAGTATGAAACAAAAAGAAAAACAATAAAATTCAGAGAGAGAGAGAGAGAGAGAGTAAAATGCAAAGAACAAAGTACCTTTTGAAATTGAGGAGGAAAAGGAGGAGCAACTGGGTGGTGGCTGTTGAGATTACAAGGGCCTTCAGAATCATCACCCTCCTTACCCACAGATTCCTTTTCAGCACCTTCCATAGGATTCAAAGTTTTGTATCTGTACTATATATGTGTGTGTGTGTAATATCAGATGGTCACCACTAGGTTTCTTGAATCAATCAACAAATTTCAATGAGCTGAGTAAAAGGACCAAACCCTTCAAAAACCTCTGAAACTGAACAAACAGAGAGAAGAAGAAGAACAACAAGAAGAAGAAGATTGGGATGACTAAATAAGCGTATTTTTTGTTTTTTAATAAAAGGTTGTGCAATAATGTGATAAAAAAAAAAAGACAAAAAAATAAAAAAGATTGATTATTTGAAAGATGTCAAACTTGGAACTTGGGCCAAGTGCCCCCAACTTAAATAAAAGGAAGGCGAGAGAGAAAAAGATGAAAAGAGTATTTGGTACCACGGGCAGTACAGACTCCACCCAACTCCATTTATTTAATTTTTTTTTTTATTTTATTTTTTTTTGGGGGAAATAACTAAACAGTGATTTTTTTATTTTTTATTTTTTGAAAAATTTACTTATAAATGATGATTCATTTAACCTTAGATATTTTTTTATAGGCTAATTAATCTAATTGGCTTTGAAAAATTAGTTTTAATATATTATATAAAAATTAAATTTAGAGTTATATTTTTTTTTTACGCTAAAAAGATACTGTACACAATTTATGAAAATTAAATTTGGGATGAATTTTTATATGAAAATATTTTTTTATTTCAAAAATATTTCAAAAAGAATATAAAAATGATTTGAAATGTGAAAATTTTCAAATATTATAAAAAGATGTGAGATTTTTTAAATATTTTAAAAGAAATACAAAAACTAAGTAAGTTTTGAATAAATATATAATTTTAAAGCAACACTCCAATGTAATACGTTAAAAAAAAAGTAGTGTACTTTTTTCAAATGTATCACTTCAATATAACATTCTAAAAAATTTCTTAATGTAATACTCTAATGTAACACACAAAAAAATTCATTAGTGTACTTTTTCCAAACGTAATACTCCAATATAACACTCTAAAAAAAATTAAGAAAGACGTGAGATTCTTCAAACCATTCCAAAATAAAAAGATGTGGGATTCTTCAAATCATTCCAAAAGGATGTGGGATTTTGCAAACCATTCTAATAGGAATACAAAAATTTCTTACTAAATTTTGAACAAAGGTATAATTTCAAATTGTGAGTGTTATGGTTGGAAAAAGAACATTAAGGAGATTTTTAGTGTTTTGTGTGTTATATTGGGGTGTTACGTTTAGGATTATATTGATTAAAGTGTTACATTTGATAAAAGTACACTAAGGAGCTTTTTGTGTGTGTTACATTAAAGTGTTACGTTTAAAAAAATACACTAAAAAGTTTTTTTTGGAATGTTACATTATTTCATTTAAGAAAAATGCAACAAAAGTTTTATAGTGTGTTACATTAGAGTGTCACTTTATTGGAGTGTTATATTTTTGTTCGTAATATGGGATTTGTTCCAGAATAAGAAAAAATCCAAAACTTTTATAGTGCGGATTGTCCACATATGTAATTTTACATTTAGAAAAACTCACTTTTACCCTTGAAAATTTAAAACCAAAGGTATAAGTCACTATCTTTTTGTATAATTTTCACTTTAATGAAACCTTTGAGTTTATAAAAAAAATGAAAGGATTAAACAGTTCACAAAATCATATTTTGAAATTTATTGGTATTTCACTCATTTATGTTTTCAAAATAATGATAAAATTTTATAATTTTAATTATTAAAATTATAAAATTTTTCTTGTAACGCGAACTCCGAAATTGATTGCAACAAGAAAGAGGGCTTTTGCAAGAATGAGGGATTAAGAAGCAGTTCCAGAAGAAGAACGAGGCAATGGCAGATTCAAAGAAGAATAAGCTTTTCAGAGAAAGAAAACAAGAAGATGGAATGAAAAAGTGAAGAAAAGATAAGAGGCAAAAGAAAGGTTTTGTCAAAAATGTGAAACGACGGCAAATTAGGGTAATCATTACGCCCTAGGGTAACGCACGCGTCAGGGGCGGCAGACGAAATGAGCGGACAGCTTCAGGCGCGTCACTGACCCGAATAAAAAAAGTAAGGAGAAGAGAGAGGTATGTAGTCTGCAGCTATGCGCAAGGGAGATATAACGTTGCCTTGCAAGAGTGTTTCCAGCAAGATGAACACGTCGGCTGAAAATAGGTAATCTTGGCAGAATAGTTTTTGAGCCATTACTCAGAATAGAAGTGACAAAATATTTCGGAATAGGTTCCATCACCTCAGAATGCCGAGGTAATAGAACCTAGGGGGCAGTTGTGGGGGATGTATTTTCAGGATACCAACACGTGGCATGGTGACGCCGACGTGTCAGCCGAGGTGCCACGTGCCCTGGTAGTTAAGCCGAGGTAATATCGGAGAAGCCGAGTCATCTCCGAAGATGTCGGAGCCCGAAGATAAGGGCGAGAATCCTAGGGCAAAGAGGATTGAAATCAAGATAAGGATTAAACTCTTAGGGAGTTTATCTCTATCACATTAAAAGAGTCCGAGTAAGCAGTGAACTAGAGTTCATAGAAGTCATACATCAAGTGGGACTTGGATTGAGTAATATTATAAAAGAGAGGCACCCCCGTGGGTCTAAGGTATGTAATTTATACTTTGAGTATTAGTTTAGTACTTGATTTATCTTGAGAGATATACTGACTTGATCGTCGGAGTGTCCCGGGTGGAAGAACCCGCCGGAGCTTTTTCTTTCTGTCTCAGGTTTGCTTAAGCCATCTATTCCGCTTGTGCTCTCCAGCTGATCACTAGACGGGCAGTGTGGTCAGATTTTCACCCACACAATTATTATTTTTGCATATATAGAAAAGTACTGTGGGCCATAAATACAAGTCAACCATTTATTTTTTATTTTAATTAATAAATTTAATATTTAAACATAATTTATTTTTTGTCAGAGATTATTTATTTTCAATTTTTCTGCCTACTTGTGTCTAGGGGTGTAAATTTGGCTCAGACCGGCCTGCACGAGCTCTTACAAAATTCGGGTCAGCTCAACCCGATCCCAGGCCAGAAAATTAGGCCCAGGAGTGTTCGGGCCTTAGTTGGGTCGGGCCTTGGGGTGGGTCGGCAGGCTTGGGCCTGAGCAAATTTTTTTTTCACTAAAATTTTATTCTTTTCCACCGAAAATGACACTGGACCTTAGGCATGCCGGGCCTTTGACCGGTGCTAAGTGGGCCTTGAGTGGGCTGATGAGTCGGCCATGGGCTGAACCAAGCGGCCCGGTTCACGAGTCGGGCTTCAAAAATGAAGGCTAGGCCCTGCCCTAAGGTCCTAAGTTGGGCTTGAACTGGGCCTAGTCTGACCAGGTCCACCCTAGGCTGCGGAAGGGCTTTGGGCCACCTATGGACCGCAGACCATTTTCACACCCTTATTTGTGTCTTGCATTCAGAATTTTTAAATGTGATAGTTTCAAAATAATTGAAAATATTATTATATAAAAAACTCTAAAACTCTAAAAAAATTCAAATTAATTTAAAAAAAAATAAATATCAAAAAATTATTTTTAAATTTTTAAAAATTAATTTTGACCTTTCGAAAGATAAATATTATATAAAAATAAAGTATTTTTTATTTTTTTATTTCTTTACCTAAAATAATTTTTTATATTTTTTTTAAAAAATTCTGAAATAAATTTCTAAAATCAATCTATAATCATATCATATGTATTAATTAATTACACAAATTCTATTTCAAGATTTTTATATTTTAATATTTTCATGGGGACAAAAAAAACTGAAAAAAGGTAAATTAAATTTGAAGCAGACAAGAAAAAAAAAACAGAGAGAGAGAGAAAGAATAGAAATTACAAATTAGATGTACTATTTCTTTTTTGAACAGAAAATTACAAATTAAATGTACTTCACAAAATATATACAAGATAAAAGGAGTACAAAATTTTTTTTAGTAAACTTTAAACAATCGTATAATTTCATTGTTGAGTGTTATGGTTGGACAAACAGCATTAGGAGATTTTTTAGTAGTTTTTGTGTGTATAATGGCCGGTGTTAAGTTTAGGATTATATTGATTCAACAGTGTTAGCATTTTGCACTAAAAGTAACTAAGGAGTTCTTTGTGTGTGTTAATTGGACAGTTGTTCGTTTAAAAAATACACTAAAGAGCTTTTTTTTGGAATGTTACAAGTTATTTCATTTAGAAAACGATCGCAAAGAAGTTTCTTATAGTGTGTTACATTAGACCAGTTCACTTTATTGGACGTTTACTTTTTGTCTAATGTGGGTTTGTTCAGTCACAGAAAAACAGAAATAGAAAATCCTAACTTCTTTAGTAGTGCGATTTGTCCAAATATGTAATTTATTACATTTAGACAAAACTACATTTTACCCCTGAAAATTAAAACCAAAGTATACAGTGCCACCTTTTTGATTATTTCCAACTTTAATGAGAACCTTTTGAAGGTTTGTAAAAAATGGAAGGAATTAAATAGTTCACAAATTCATATTTTTAATTTATTGGTTTTTCCACGCGTCATTTATGTTTTCAAAATAAATGATAAAATTTTATATAATTTGGAATTATTAACAATTATAAAATTTTTGTTAT